TTAACTTCTTCCATACACTATCTGTTTATAGTCTACAAAAACATCACTTATCAGGGAAACTGAGGCTATGAAAAACAACTTCTCTATTTTACTGATCATTAATTTAAGAACGTCTAAGTCAGACTTTTTATTTAGTATCTGTATATACCCATAGCCTTTATCTATAGTCTAATTGTTTTTAGAAATTCTTGTACTCACAGCCCTTATTTATGGCCTAGTTGCTTTTAGGGATTCTTTATTGCCTTAAACTAAGGCTAAAAGGAAGAATGTTTATAATCACTAAGCCTAAACTGGCAGTAATTCAACTGACAAATCCTGTCTCCTAGCAGTCTTAAGAACATTGTTAATATAAGTATTAAAACTACCTAAGATTACAAGTAGAACAAAATGTAACTAATATATGACTTCTAACTTTTAATAAAAATATACTAAAGTGTGGGAGAGCCAAAATCCAAAGTAAAGGGATACTAATAAAATCATGAATAAATCAGAAAATGATTCAAAAGGAAAAAAATAACTAGGGGCCTGCGCATAGAATATTATCTTTGTGGCTTTGCCATCCAAAGAAAATTCATTGTTGCTCTGCAAAAACAATGAATTCTTCTATGCCCAGGTTTCCCCGTGTCTCATTTATTTATTTTAATTCATCGATTAATATGTCTTAATTTATTTATTTTAATTCCTTAATTATAGCCTTTGCCACAATATAAACTGAACAAATGCTCAGTAGGAATGTGTTACAAAACTGTACATTCTAACCTAGCTTTATGAAACCTCACTGAATTACAAATATACTACCATTCAAGTTTCTATGAGTTGGAATCAACTTAATGGCAGTGGTTTTAGCTAGAGAAAGACTTAGGCAAAACTTCACTCCCAGATCCTACTTCTACATTCTTCTGCTTTCTTGGAAATCTGGAAGCTACTGTATGCCCTTCCCAACTTGATGGCAACTAACAACAACAACAACAAGGATCTAGCTGTTACAGAGTAACTGAGGGGGTACTGCCTTTCAGCTGTGTAATTGCTTTCAGAGAAATTTTGTATGTGAAGATTTAGCTGTCACTGTGGAATAAAATTTTAAATTCCTATTAAAATAATTTCAGTCATAAAAGAAGTCAGAAATATTTGTAGTCTATGTTCACACTAACATGTCTAGAATGCCCTCCCTTTTGCACACATCTATTATCCTCCAAGAGACTAATAGTCCTCCCAACCAAATGATCTTTCTCTTCCCCTTGAATTGCTGTGCATTCTAGTGATATTTATGTTTGTTTTCAATGGTACCACTGAACTGCAAGTATCTTTAAGGCAGAATCTGACTTCCTAATTTTAGTATCATCTGCAGCATCTTACAGTGAATTTAGGAAGTAAATTTACATGAGAATTAGAAGTTGACATGAATTTAATGAGTGCAATTCATACTACAAAGGGTTCTAAAATAAGAGTAAGAGAATCTGACAAATATACATTTAAGCAAATCATTTGAAAGATACAATTAGGGAAGTGTGTGTGTGTGTGTGTGTGTGTGTGTGTGTGCGCACACACACACGTGCAGACCAGATGAAAATATATGGGTTGAATAAGTAAGCTAATACTAAGAATCCATCAATTCAAACAATATTTAAGAGCCTACTATGTCCAGGTCCTATGGGGCCTACAGTCTAAGAGGAACATAGATCCTGTTGGGAGAGACAGATAAATAAATGCAGTTCTGTGCCATCAAGTCAGTTCTGACTCATAACGATATTATACACAAGAGAATGAAACACTGCCTGGTCCTGTACCATCCTCACAATCATCAGAAGGAAAAGACCAAAATGGATGTAAGACAAGACACTGAAACTTGCTCTCTAGCGTACAGCTGCTAAAGCAAATGGAAGATATGAGGAGATACAAGAGCAGTACAGAAAGTTTCAAAGCTCAGCTTGAGAAGACAAAGTCAAATATTATAACGAAATGTGCAAAGATCTGGAGTCATAAAACCAAAAACGGAGCACACCCAGCATTTCTCAAGCTGAAAGAACTGAAGAAAAAATTCAAGCCTCCACTTGCAATACTGAAAGATTCTAGGAGTAAAATACTGAATGATGCAGAAAGCATCCAAGGAAGATGGAAGGAATACACAGAGTCACTGAACCAAAAAAGAAATGGTCGATGTTCATCAATTTCAAGAGGTGACATATAATCAATGGTACTGAAGGAAGAGTGCCAACTTGATGTCATCTGACAACAACAATATTCAGGTCCTATGTGGGGCCTACAGTGTAAGGGAGATATACATTCTGCTGGGAGAGATAGACAATAAATAAATGTTGATGCTACGTGCCATTGAGTTAGTTCCAACTGATAGTGACCTTATACACAACAGAATGAGACACTGCCCGGACTGAACCACTGCTGTCATTACGCCAATCCATCTTGTTGGGGGGCTTCCTCTGTTTTGCTGACCTTCCTAGTTTACCTAGCATGATGTCCTTCTCCAGGAACTGGTCCCTCCTGATAATAAGTCTGAAGTTATGAGAGATGAAGTTTTGCAATTAGGGCTTCTAAGGAACATTCTGGCTGTACTTCTTCCAACACAAATTTGTTTGTTCTTCTGGTAGCCCATAATACTTTCAATATTCTCCTCCAGCACTATAACTCAAATGCATCAATTCTTCTATGGTCAATATGAGATGATTGAAAATACCATGGTTTGGGTCAGGCGCACTTTAGTCCTCAAACTGACACCTTTGCTCTTCAACACTTTAAAGAGGTCTTGTGCAGCAGGTTTGCCTAATATAATGCATCGTTTGAGTTCTGGACTACTGCTTCTATGAGTGTTTATAGTGGATCCAAACAAAATGAATTTACCATAATGCTTATTGGTCCAGTGGTGAGGAATTTTGGTTTCTACACATTGAGCCTTTGATATTCATCAGTTAAGTCTTTCAAGTCCTCTTCACTTTCAGTAAGCAAAGTTGTTATTGAGTCTTCCTCCAATCCTGATGCCACATTTTTCTTCATATGATTCAACTTTTCAGATTATTTGATTATCATATAGCTCGAATAAGTATGGTGAAAGAATACAAACCATGGTGTACATCTTTCCTAATTTTAAATTATTCAGTGAACCCTTGTTTTATTTGAATGATTGCCTCTTGGTCTATGTGTAAGTTCCTCATGAGAAAAATTAAGTGTTCTGGAATACTCATTGTTTGCAATGTTGTTCATAGCTTGTCATGATCTACATGGTTGAAAGCCTTTGCATAGTCAATAAAGCACAGGTAATATCTTTCTGATAGTCTAGCTTTCATATTACCCCCAAAATTTAGTTTCCCACAGACTTAAGAAGAATCACTCGTGTGATATGTTTACCAATAAAGGCAATCCACTGGAATTAAGAATTTACAACAGAAGGAACTCCCACCTCCATCCCTGACTCCACCAGCAGAAAGAAGCGTGTCTGCCCAGAGCACCATCATGGTGAGGGGCAGTTGTGAACACACTCCAGTTAAAGTATCCAGGATGGCAAACAGCTTGGAAACTGACATTGGAGGTGAAAGAACTGAAGCCGATGGGCCCACAAAAGAAATGTCTAGGTGGGGACCAGACAACTCCCTATTAATAGTTGAAGGTTGTCCCAGGACAGAGGGCTTACAGTATTCTGTATTG